GCGAAAATGTGGAGATGGAACGGTCGAACGAGAAACTTTGGAAGAGTCTTGAGAGGAGGAGGAGTGCACCACAGGAAGCCCAAGGAGCAAAAGGAGCCAAGGAGATGCCTGCAGAGGAACTATGTAAAAATGTAAACTAACTTTGTTCAGAGAGGCCTACGTGTGACAGTCACAACCGATAAACATGTGGCCCTCTATGTCTAAAGTCTCTGAAGGAGACAGCTGCCATTTTATGCAGTCATACATGCTTCAGGAGTTCYGCGCTACTGTGGTGCTCTAAGCGCATGCTCATGGGGGTCAAAAAGTGGGACCATGGGTTGTAAAAATTGCCATATCATGGTRTATTTCATTTGGAATTATCTTAATTCTACTTGCTCTTGAATGTTGATGAAAAACGCAATTAACATATAGCAATTTTTACCACCCATGGTGTCACCCATGGTACCACTTTTTGATCCCTTGAACATGCGCTTAGAGCAGTAGCGTGGAACTCCTGATACATGTACTGTATCAAAGCCCCAGATGGTGTAAAATAATGGCCAGAAATCAGACAATGCCTGGCCAGATCTGGGACTTGTTCAGTCAAATCTTTGCCTTGCTAGTCATTTTGACCAGTAATGTTTAGCCCGAAATGAGGTACATGTATAACTAACCAAAAACTAATTTGGCCGGTGATCAAGACTGGTGAATGATCAGCTATTATTTTAAACCCTGCACAAAGGTCTAACCATTTGCAAATATTTTTAGATCAAAGCAAAGGCAGCACCTTCTACTTGGATATTTTAAGACCTCGAGTGTTGGTCCGGCAGAGGCTTGAACCACAACCTCCCACACAACAGACTGGTGCGAAACTATAACTGAGCCAATGCCAAACAGAAGGCAGAAGAGAGGAAATATTTAGATGAAAAAATGCTTAATACCTGAAAATAAGCGTTGAAAGCTTGGTTGGTGTACTGGAGTCTGTGAGGAGAATAAAAACTGCTCTGGTACTGCCTATATGAGTAAAAAAAGGTAGAACAGTCAATTTATTTGTTAAAAATATTTTGCATCATTTTACATAAYAAATACACATGAAATACAGCAAACAAGAAAAAAAATAGACCATTTTAATGTTATATGGCATCCACCTTGAATTATGGGATGAAAGGGGTTAAGTGAAGAAGATTTAWAAGCTTAGAGTTGTGAGCTAACATTTCAAATACAGGTCTAACTTGATGTTTTACATTTTGTAWCAACTACAAGCAAATTCCATTGCTTTTTTGATAGCACTTTTCATTGTAAAACATAAATTATATCAAAAGACACCCTGACAACTGTACAGCCAATACTTTTTCGAAAAGTTGCCCCCTCGGCATCCCAAAATGTCTTAATTAAAGTATAAGATTCAAGATGGTCACTGTATTGGTAAAAAAATCTAGTCAAACCAAGCTAAGGCTTCTACTTTAATACCTGCTTGATGCCTGACAGTCTGGCTGCATGCAGGCTATTAGGATCCCTGTGTGTAAATAATTTACAAACCACAGGCAGCCCACCAAAGAAATGTGAGGCCACATKGGGGAAATCTATTATTTCAGTTAATATGACTGCCCCATGTCCATTGTGAAGAATGATCTGAGTGCCATTACATGTTGACTGTTGGGAAATATGAGCTTAAGTAATTTGCAGATCCGATGTGGGGGGCGGGGGGTTGGGGGTTGAATTGGGGGGCTAGTCACCAACTTTGAAGTTGAAAAATAATAGGAATGAAGGGTAAGAAAAGAGCTAAAAAGAACGCTTATAGATGCCATTCTAGATAACAGTCACCCCCCTTGAAATCGTTCTCCATGCTCCATTCTTACGATACATTGTAAATTTCACCTGTGTTAAAATAGTTCATATATTAGTTTAGCTTCTTGGGAAAGCTAGTTAAGTCAACAAACCTTACTTTTATAGTTTTAGGGGAACATTTCCCCTTATTCCTTAATAACCAATAGCTTTATCCCTACGATTTCTATCGCCATCCTCCCTAATTAAGGCTCCCAGTAAACCCAAAGCTTCAGACCCTTTTCCTTAGTTTTATACTCACAAAGCCTCCCAAAATTGCTTCTATGGCAAAATAACTAACAAAAACTAAGCTTAATTGGGTATTTTAGTACCTTTGGTAGTCGCACTGCTGAGAGAGAACGAGTAAAATTCTTGCAAAAATTCAACAATCTTGTAGCCGCCATTTTGAATATCCAATGCAATACTAGTGAGTGGGTTCCCTGTGGAAAAGTTATATATTTTTACTAGGGGAAGGGAGGGTAGTGGTCTATTTTTATTTCGATAGCCAAGCAACATTATGATTTTGCATACRCTTCGTTATTTTTTCTGTAAATAAATTTAGATTCAAAATACTCATTCATTTTTAAGGGTTATTTCTATTCAAATTTCATAAAGGAGCTGTACACGTATTAAATTTTGCGACCAAATTAAGAAATATATATATATATGTTATTTACCGGCCAGGAGGTCCAGATAGGGAAAAACTGTGCCCGAGGTCTTAAATATCCGTTTTCAAGACCGAGGGCACAGTTTTTCCCTATCCGGACCGACTATAGGACAGTAAATAACTTTTTTTTTTTTTTCTTGTATTTATTTTACTTGCTTTTGTAATCGTTTTGTGTTGTCGTTTAGCGGCAAAGGATACCGGCCGCGCGCGCGGGCAGATACTGACAAAATAACGTCCGCTCAAACAGCCAATCAGAACGCACGATTTTTTAGGATACCGGACCGGAAAAAAATAGATATGTGTTATCCCCTTAAAAAAATTAATCATTGTTATTTTACTTAATTAATCTGAATAAAACTTGAAAAAAAGTTGCAAAAAACTGAAAAATAATTTGCAGAAAATAGAGTACAAGGCTAAATACCATTCGTGGGTTCCCTGCGGCTTAAGCGACCGCGATAGACTGGTTAGACAAGATTGTCAAAAGGTTCAAAGTGTTGATCAAGTCGTGGAGATATTTTACACTTTTTTGAGACTTTTGGAGCTTTTTGTGGACTTTAAGCGCTAGGAACCAATTCAATGGATAATTCTGTGGATTATATCGAAGATCGAAGCTCATACGTTAAATAATTTTGACAAAAAATTGGAAAATTCCTTGGATATGGAAGAAGAGAAAGAGGAAAATGTTGATAGAAACTGTTGCAGTTTGTCTTYCTGTTCGGCTGAAGAATGCCGAAATTTAAAACCAAAAGAAAAACTCGAGGATGCTAATGATGAATATGACATCAATGGAGCGATAAAAGATGTCGTAAACGTGAATGGAAATGAAGAAAGTTGCCAGGATTCAAACTTGATTTCAAATAACGATTTTACTTCACTTGAACTTGACATTCAAGACAACAACTACGATTTAGGAAAAGCAAACCTTCGTACTTCTAAATTTATAGACTTTAATTCCTTACCAGACGTTGTTGTTCTAAAAATTTTATCATTTTTAGACATAAAATGCCTTGGCCGTGTATCTTGTGTGTCCAAATATTTGAAGATTTGTTGTCAGTATTCATGCTTATGGACACACGTCAATCTAAGCAGCAGACGACTTTTGACAGATGATGTAATACTTCGTGTGATAAATATCAGTAAGAACATTACATCACTGGATGTATCCGAGAGTAGAAATATCACCGAGCATGGGTTGAGAACAGTGTTAATGGATTGTACATCTCTACAGCAGTTCAAGGCTGTAAGGTGTGAGTGTATAACTGATATATCCTTGGAGACGATTGGACAGTTTTGTGGGGAATTGAGTGTGGTTGACTTCAGCATGTGTAAAATAACAGACCTTGGAATGGAAAAGGTAGGAATATAACACCACCAGTAATAATAATTAACAATTATTTGCTGAAGGCAAAGTTAGTAAAAATACACAGGTGATTATTATTGAAAATCTCGCTCGCTGATGGGTTGAGAATGATTTTTGATATTAGGAGGCTCTGTGAAAAGTATTTTAAATTAATATTTAAATTAGATAAATATGCATAGAAATTAGATATTAAATAAATAAATAAATTTTATTTAAGTGTCTAGTCGTTCTWGCACTTTCGCACTAATTGGGGAYGCTGCTCACACACACTACCACTACATTCATTATTCTATGCACACAATGCTCAACTCACATGTTGATTTATGTGGAGGGAGAAAACCGGAGATCCCGGAGAAAACACTCGTAGCACAGAGAGAACAACACATTGATCAAACAAAGTCAATAGCCCACCTCCGAAATATGCTTCGCTTGTCACGCACAAAGGTTTCAATATGAGGCTACGTGCTAAATAAAATTGATTCTTACTGCCTGTCATGAATGACTGAGCAATTAGCAYGTAGCYTCATACTGAAACCATTGTGCGTGACAAGCAAAGCATATCTCGGAAGTGGGCTATTCCCTACATGTCAATTTCAATAGAATGTGGTGCCAAACAGGGATTAGGTGTACTTTAAAAAACAAAATAAATGAAAAAGTAATTTGTGGAAAAATGGAATAAGTCRTTTATCAGCCAGAAGGTTTGGATAATTGCAATTCAACCTTGGTCTAAAATGGGAAAACATTACTCCCAAGATAGAGTTCTATCCGATCAAGGGTACTAAGTCTATCAAGCTGTCATTCATGATTTCTAATTATTATTCTCATCCAATTTTTTTTTCTAGTTTTGTTCCGGCTGTCCCAAACTTCAGCAAATGAAATTAGACCATTGTAGACTGTTGACCAGTAGAACCCTTATGCATATTGCAAACAACTGCCGTGACCTACAGTGGCTGTCAGTAGAAAATGACATAGAGATACATGATGATGGTGTTAATAAACTAGTATCTGTATGTCATGGATTAAAGAGATTGCAACTCAACTCCTGTGGAATCACTGGAGAGTCTATAAGAAGCATCGCAATCAATGCACATGCAATGACTGTACTAGATGTGCGGTACTGTACCACACTGAATGACGAGTTGGTGAAAGAACTAGTCTGCGGCTGCCCTGATCTTGTTATCTTGAATTTAAGCCTGTGTTTTAATGTGACAGATCAGTCGGCAGTCCATATCTCTCAGTATTGCTCTTGCTTGAAGAGTATATACCTGGTTAACTGTAGGATCACAGACAAAGGTTTGTCAAATTAATTAATATGAAATTTTTTAATTTTATAATTAACAGTTGTAGTTATTTAGTGAGTAATAGTTGCTAGCACTCAACCAGAACATTTATTAAACAGACACAAATGATCTCTTGTGTATTTGTCTTTGTGGCCTTTGCTATGCAAACTAAGACTGGACTGCTTTACTGGATTGATCTTTATTTGTATATCTCGTCAATCTTGACTATCTCTGACTTATCCGTAAAACTACAAGTAGATCAACAAAGGGATGTAACTAAATCATATCGGAATTATACGCGATAGAACGAATTATTAAAACTAAGATTCAATCCCAAACTAAACTAATGTAATATGGCACTCACTTAAGAAAACTGTGACTGTGTTGCGTGACATCAGTCACAGTCTTTGATTGATGAATGTTCTGGTTGAGTGATAGCAACTATTAGTCACTTAATTGTATCATCACTCTATAATCCCATATAAGCAACTTTTGTATTATTTTCAAATTCTCTTTCCTGTCCAAATTAAAGATTAATTTGGATTGTTTCCATTCACGTTCTTATGAGGGAAAACTATGACTTATGGAATCAGTCTAGTATAGTTTGGGATGATACAATTAATCTGCCATAAGGACTACATGTCTGTCCAATTTGGAAACAATTGAATTWAAAAAATTYCTCTGACTGCCAAATTGCACTCRGCCTATCGGCCTCTTCCAATTTTGTGAGTCCTCGGAATTATTTTCATTCAATTATTTCCAAATTGGACAGCATGAAGTCAAATATCTAGATAACGAMTAGTTTTGGAACTAGTTCGGACTGCGTCGGTGTTTTTTAGTTGAAACAAATGTGTCRTAGAAGATAATTTTATTACCGTAAATACAAAAGATAACAGACTGACGTTTCGGACGTTAGTCTTTYRTCRGAGTCAATGAGAGAAAGAGAATGATGGAGGGGTTTATATAGTGGTGTAGGGAGAAAACRAACCAATAAGAAAATAGAAAGTCGAAAAACAAAAGAGAACAAAAGGATTGAAAATAATAATGGTAGGTGAGAAGTGGCTAATTAAAGGTGAAGCGTTCATTCATCCCGTGCRGATTAACTGTGCCAAGCGAATGAATTAAGCGCATTTTAAGCGCATGTAGTCATATTACCTATTAAAAAATATCTAACATTTGTCAGTATCCAATTCGCTTTTATTTCATGGTTTTACTAGATGCACTCTAATACTGACTTTTGTATCGTTGATTTGTTCAGGAATGAAGGTTTTTTCTTGTAGTACTTTTGGTCTGGAATGGATTGATGTGAGTTGGTGTCAAGACATCACTGATGACGGTGTTAGGACCTTGGTTTATGGCTGCAAGACACTTAAACACTTAGGTAATGTATATGTGCATCACCATCACCATCATATCACCATGACAACAGCTATGATCAGTATTACCATCATCATAATCACTACAACCACAATCATAGTCATGATTATGATCACCATCATGCATCATTATCACTACCACCATCATCACCATCTTCATCATCATTAGTACCATCATGCATCATCACCATCTTTATCATCATTAGTACCATCATGAATCATCGCCATCTTTATCATCACTAGTACCATCATGCATCATCACCATCTTTATCATCATTAGTACAATCAAGCATCATCACCATCTTTATCATCATCACTTCATCATTCCCATCAGCATCATCATCATCATCACCATCATGCATCATCACCATCATGCATCATCACCATCATGCATCATCACCATATTTATCATCACTAGTACCACCATGAATCATCACCATCTTCATCATCATTAGTACCATCATGCATCATCACCATCTT